TCATCCATCTTATTCTCGAGTGACTGAACATTTGCCAACAGAACGGAGAGGAGTGCCGTTTGGTTTTCTCTTCGCCTCAATTTCACTAGGACTCCACCTCATCTCCCGTGTTTATGCCTACGGCGTTTTGGTAGCCAATGGAACAAAATAATAGGGTCCGGTATGAACAGTGGAACAGCTGAGTTGGAGTTGAAGTCGTATTTGAATTCAAAATCGAGGTTAAACTGGTGATCTGATGTCCAGAAGTGCTTGGTCATATGTGATAATAGTATGAACTTTCTGTACAAAAAAAAGTAAAGATAAACACGATAAAAGTCACTATATGTCAAAGTTGGGTTGGAACTTGTAAGATGTCGCCCTTCTCTGTCAGCACCATCTTTATTGTCCTTATTTGAAACAATTAATTAGGCCTATAAGGGTTCATTACTGATCTATAAAATACATATATATATTTTTACTGTCAACAATATATAAACCCTTACAGTCACCTTTAAATTGTACCTTAATGTAAAGTGTTACCAAAAGTTTTAGAAATCTAACTTTTAAACTGTGATATGCATAATAATAATCAATTTAACATGAATGACTATAACAGCCTTATTGTATTAAAATATTCATAGCCAGGCTACTTATTATAGACAATAATAACTTGTATTATTATCATTATAGGCCTATTAATTATATTATTATTAAACACTTTAAAATCCAATTAAATCCAATTAAATACTTACCCATTTAAGGCAATACAGGCAATTGGAAAACAGATTATGAAAAATAGATCGTATTTACTATAGTAGGCTGCAATGGGCTGGTTATAGGGCCTACATCTCGATTGGAGGCTGAACATTCGATGCCTTGAACAACTCCTCCCATCCAACTATAAGAGCTCTGTGGGCCGGTACACTGACTGAGATGTTCAAGACATTGAACAAACACGTGGCTGAGGAAAACTAGACATTTCAAACTTTTTTTTGAACTACCATTAGGCCTAGACATTAAAGACATAGGCCAAGTCTACATTAGGTCCCCAATATGCATGCATAGAATATTCATTCGTTTAGGGATTTGTTTTCTCCTCTTATTTTTTTCTTGGGCCATCGTTTTAGAGACCCAGACCCAAAACATTTCGATGATGACCTTTGCCATGCTTCGGCCAATTGCGACTCATCTGATCAGCTACCCGGACCTGAGTATGATGTCCGAAGACGAGGAGAACCGCAGCGAGAGCGACGGTAGCTCGGATCAGAGCTATGGATGCTGCGCATCCGCCGACAAACGGCGGAGGATTTCTCGAAAGTCGGGAGGCAGCAGTGTTGTCATTGTGAAACAGCGGAACGCAGCCAATGCCAGGGAGCGCGACCGAACCCAAAGCGTCAACTCTGCATTTACTGCACTTCGGACTCTAATACCCACTGAGCCAGTGGACAGAAAACTCTCCAAGATTGAGACGCTTCGCCTAGCATCCAGCTACATCTCCCACCTCACCAACACCCTGCTGCTCGGAGACGGGAATGGAGATGGACAACCTTGTCTTGGCGCGGTTTACGCGCAAGGAGAGAGCGGTGGAAAGCAGCCTCGCACCATCTGTACCTTCTGTTTGAGCAATCAAAGAAAAGCGGTAATTAAATGCGTTTTCTTAAATATGATTGTCCACAATTAAAGTGGAAAAGGTTTAGATCAGTGAAGAAAACAATAGCTTGAAAACATGGCTAAAATTCAGCCAAATAGTATTATACACAGGCCCTGCCCATCACGTTGTTGGGAAGTAATATGATCTTATGTTGGAATCATTTGTTTTTGGAAGACTAACATTTTACACTGATTGATATATCCAAGTCAAAGGAATTAAATTATTCTTTGCTCTATTCTGGATCGAGATCTTCCCGCGTAAAACAACATTTTACGCATCTTCGCATGAGGCGCCATCATGCCCATACTGAGGGGCCAACGTGACCCCTAAATTTGATGAATAGTAATATACAAAGTATAGTTTCTTTTACAATTCATTTTACGTTTCTTTTACAATTTCTTATACTTTTATTTTACAATGTGTTTTAATTAATTCAAAGATATTGAATTTATTCATTGGTGTGCCCTCAAGATGACGCCTCTTTCTTCCACTGCCAATGTTTCACGTATTAGCATTTTGAATAAAAAAATATTTAAAATATATAGGATAGCCTATTATTTTATGAAAAGAAAACATACATTGTTTGCACACGTTTTTTAATTGATTTGAATGTAGGCCTAATGCAATATTCAATACACATTTATAACAGAATAGTATTACATTTATGTAATAAACTTTAAGTAACCTTAAATCAGTGGCGCTAATACTATATCATCATCATCATTACCATCATTATTATCATCATCATCATCATCATATCATTATCATTATCATCATTATTATCATTATCATCATCATCATTATTATCATCATTATTATCATTATCATCATCATCATCCCATCATTATCATCATCATCACCATCATTATTATCATTATCATCATCATTATTATCATCATTATATCATTATCATCATCATCATCACCATCATTATTATCATCATCATCACCATCATTATTATCATTATCATCATCATATCATCATCATCATCATTATTATCATATACTGTATACTGTTGTTTATGTTTTGTTATTGTTGTTGGTTGTAGTGATATGCAGTGCCATGAGGAAATTGTTCACTTATTAATTGTCCCCCAAAATGTGCTTTATTTTTTCCAGATAAAGGATGGCAAAGACTGTCTGAAGATGCGAGGCGTTGGTTCTCTGAGAGTGAACCGCAGATAGAAGACCGTGAAACACAACAGCAAGAACCAGAACTCCTCATCCACAAACTCAGGGAACACTAAAAGCAGGCCATAACAGAACCATTCTCATCATGCTGGAGAATATTATGAAACAAGAGACTATTTATACTTGAGAGAATGCTGTGAGAAGCATGGAACAAAACAATGTCCAAAGTGAAGCCTTTAACAAATGCAGTGCATTTATAGATAGAGAAATTATAGATTTGTATATTTGTGTGATATTTGTGTTGTACATGTATTACATTTTGAAATAAAAGTTATTTTTTATCAAAATGTAATTTCTCCTTGTAGTTTTCTTTCCTTCGAACACGTCTGTCTATTCCTCCTCTATTGTTGCAGTTTTTATATTTTTAATTAAAAGTTAATTAAAAGGCACATATGACAGACCTATTCACTTGATTCCTTGTCTAGTTCATGCTAGGGCACAGAAAAACAGGAAAACTTTGAGACTGAGATTGGAGGACTTTTCCTTGTTTATTTTTTATGTTGCTAAGGATTTTCTCATGCCAACCTCTGTGCCAGAGCAGATGGTAGGTGGTCAGTTAGGGCACAATGTTATGATGTCCTGAGAAATGTTACATTGACTAAAACAATATTTACAATTAAATGTTAATGCAATGTAAAACTATAAAAGCTTTGGAGCTGGTACAAGTAACCATATTCTAAAATGACATGCATTAATATGTGTGTACTGTATGGTCCAAGAACATGACATTTACTGCATTCAAAACAAAACCCTGGGAAAGTGGTCGAACAGTTTGAGAGTACAAAATAAGGTTAATATCCTCAGGAGGATGAAGCTGGGAGCCATGGTCTGCTGGGTGGCATGTCCAAGAGGCTTGCCAATGAATACCTAAAATGGCAGGTTTATTTTGTCTTAACAATTACACAAGGACAAGCAGGAGAAAGGAGCCCTCTACATCATAAAAAAACAACATCATGGATAAACTTCTCAAAAGTGACCTACTCTAAAGTACCCACGGTATATCAAAGTGTCATAACATCAAAGTGACATACATTAAGCTCTTATCTAGATATCCTTGATAAGACTCAAATCTATTTCAGTTTCGGTCAAAAAATCAGGAGTTCAATCTAAAGTTTTTTTGTTTTCTCTCTCGATGAGAGAGAGAGAGAGCGGAGAGAAAGAGGCACGAGGCTACGTCATATATATCTCGCTCTCTGATCTCCCGCTCTTCGCGCTCTCTATAGCGGCTCGCTACTATGGCTCTCTCTCTCTCCTCTCTCTCTCTTTCTTCCTCTCTATGTATATCTCTCTATCTCTTCTCTCTATCTCTTCTCCTCTCTCTCTCTCTCTCTCTCTCTCTCTGCCTCTCTCTCTCTGTCTCTCTCACACACTCTTAATATTGTTTCCAATAGCTTTGCCAATAAGTTGTTGGTGAAGTATGTAGAGCCATAGCTAAGGATCATGGTTTCTTGTGTCATTCATTGACTGGTGTATTTTTGCAAATCACACGGTTGCCTTATTTGAAGCCTGGTATCAATTAGTCAAGGCAAATAGTAGCGCGCACTCTGCTCCGAGACCCTGACACAGCTGTTGGGATGTCAGAGGTATAAATCACTGTAGTAGCCCAATGGAAGACGAGGGAGCTTGAGAAGTTGGATGTCTTTGTGGAGCAAGAGGGGACAGGGCTAAAGAAGTGCAATGAGACCCTGTGGGCATGAAGTCACAGTCCAGGACCATGTTGTTGAAATATATACATTGTAATGCAGAAAGGAAAAGGTCCTCGCATGATATCAGGAGGATACTGTGCCCTAATCTTGTTGGCATGGAAAGTTTGGCTAAGTTTGAACCTGTTCAACATGCTGATGGTTTCAGCAGGCAGAGAGTAGACACACAGACACACAAGCTCAGTGCTCACATTCGCTCCTGTCTGGGATCACTTTGAATGAGATTGCAGATGGATCAGAGTGCAAAGCCCCGTATGGCTGAGGAAGGCTCCCTGGTGTTGATTGTGGTATGTGGAAAGTCCATTTCCAGACAGTAAACAGTTCACGCAGGCTTGGGGTCCGGGTCCAAGTCCATCCCCTCTCCTATTCTCCTCCTCTCCTCCTCTCCTCCTCTCCTCCTCCTCTCCTCCTCTCCTCCTCTCCTCCCCCCACATGCCCTGTCAGAGACTCAGGCTAATTATAATTGTCTGTGCTCAGCCTCTCGTGCTCTGGGCCCAGGCCTCCCCAAATGGCTCCCTGAGGCTCCCTCCAGCAGGAAGATGTCACAGAGGCACAGGAAGGAAAAACACGCAGAGCCGACCTCTCGGAGCTACTCTCTGTGCGGCAGGCTTTGGGTCAGCGCCAGTCTTGACATCATCCGGCGGTGAGACCCAGATGTACGGCTCCCTGTGGTAATACGAAAAAGTGTGTTTTTAAACCAACAAATTCAGGAGGCTTTTCCAGGGAAGACAGGGAGAAATTGATGATAGCCCATAAGAGGAAAGGAAGGTGAAAAGGAGAAAAGCAAAGGTAGCAGAATAAGGAAGGCCACCATGGATGGAATTGAATTTCTGCCCCAAAATATTTCCTACAGGAAGACTTTCAGCAGGGGTGAAATGGAGCTAGACAGCACTTCCACCTCCTCTCACTGAGATGAAAAATGGCCTGCATACTGTATGTGTTCTATTGTCGGTGAATGAGGAGGGAAGAAACAGCATAAAAAAAGAAAATCATACTGAGCCACTTTTTGACTTATTTCTCTTCATTTGAGCAAAAATTTTTTCAGTGACCCTAACTGTAGAGTGATTATTTTGCAGTTTATTTGGGTTGGAGTTAATGTCAACTCAGATGCAGGGCAAACTGTTGGACATAATAAGTCAAACCAGATCCAGCTTTCTCATAGTTGGAGCATGGGTTCAACTGTTTGCTTCTCTGTCATGGTTTTCCACGTTGATTCAATGTTATTACATTTTATTTTTGTTGTTGAAATGACGTGGAAACAACGTTGATTCAACCAGTGGGACACCTCATGGGCCTCAAGAAAGGAGAGCTTTCACCTAATAGCCTACTCTAGAACAGAGTTTTTGGTTGCTCAGCATTTAATGTGAACTAGGACTACAGGACAGATCTAAATAGAATATAATCTCTCTCTCTCTCTCTCTCGCTCTCTCTCTCTCTCTCTCTCTCTCTCTCTCTCTCTCTCTCTCTCTCTCTCTCTCTCTCTCTCTCTCTCTCTCTCTCTCACTCTCTCTCTCGCTCTCTCACTCTCTCTCTCTCTTGCTCTCTCGCTCTCTCTCTCTCTCTGTCTCCCCTCCTGGAGGACCTGAGCCCTAGGACCATGACCACTCCTGGCTGTCCCTGTCCCCAGTCCACCTTGTCATACTGCTGATCCAGACCTGTTCACCGGAACTGCTACCTTGTCCCGGACCTGCTGTTTCGACCGTCTCTCTCTCTCTCTCGCTCGCTCCTTCTCTCTATACCGGACCTGCTGTCTCGATCTCTGATTGCTCGGCTATGAAAAGCCAACTGACATTTACTCCTGAGGTGCTGACCTGTTGCATCCTCTATAACCACTGTGATTATTATTATTTGACCCTGCTGATCATCTATGAACATTTGAACATCTTGAAGAACGAGCTGGCTTTAATGGCCATGTACTCTTATAATCTCCACCTGGCACAGCCAGAAGAAAATGGGCCACCCCTCGGAGCCTGGTTCCTCTCTAGGTTTCTTCCTAGGTTCCTGCCCTCTAGGGAATTTTTCATAGCCACCGTGCTTCTACATCTGCATTGCTTTCTCTTTGGGGTTTTAGGCTGGGTTTCTGTATAAACACTTTGTGACAACTGCTAATGTAAAATGGGCTTTATTAAATACATTTGATTGATTGATTGATTGATTGATTTAATATATCATGGACCACTCTAATATCTCCTTCCCCCACTCTCCCCTACAAGAAAAACTCAAACAGTTTATCTAGAAAAGGGAAAGAAGTGCTTTTTGTCAACACCATAAGGGGAGCACTGTCTCAATTCCCTACCGTACAGTATGCTTACTTCCAGACGTTTGTAGCCCAGAGGGCCTCGCTAAAGAGTTGTAGCTGGAAAATGGTGCGCAGGGGTAATATTTTAATAACATACTCTCCAGGCAGGCCCGCAGCGTGAAATATTATATATTATAATATATATCACATTTCAAACACCCATTGACAGGGGAGATGTCAGAGATATTAATTGGTGTCAGACACACGTTGTGGCTCTCCGTTCAGAGGCTTGGATATACCTCTCCACTTATGATATTTTATGACCAACTTCTCCAGAGAAGAAGCAGGAGGAGGAGGAAGTCTGACCAAGCAGATTAGGTTGTGCACCTGAATAGGTTATGACTGTAGCAGTACCCTCCCATGAGCACATGTACACAGGAACCATTGTTTTATGTGCTGCTGAGTTTGGCAGGGGGATTGAAAGTGTGTGTGTTTGTGTGTGTGTGTGTTTGGAGGGGATGGTCAGTCGGGAAGCAGAGGAATTCCCAGAGAAGGAATTGCGGAACAATGCAGGCTATCCTACTATTGCTTTACTCTGGCACAGGTTGCTGTGACCCACCCTCAGTATCCATGTCCATGTACAGAGGCAGAGGTGAGAAGTCGGCAACAGCCACTCCAAGAAAATGCTTCCTTGTAAAAACAATCGAACAATGTGAGACAGGCCTGTGTGTGCTCACGCTATCCTGTTCCAAAGATGAGGCAATTTAATCGTAATCAATCTATTAACTATTATGATAGGGACTGTTTCTTGTCCATGTCAGCAAAAGGATGCGTGGGTGAGTTGGAACTAGAACTTGGCTTAGACCAAGATGATGATGGCATACTTTCTGCAACACAAGTAACATGGCTGGAGTATTTCATAAAGCAATTTGTATCTTCTAATGTGAAAATTAAGATTTTTTGGGGGGATGAGCTGCAAGAAGTGTGTGTCAGACAATGTCTACATGTCTTGTGAGATCAAGATGGGGTGTGTGTGTGTGTCACATGGGAAATTCTCCCAGCGCTAGGCCTGCTGGAGACCTAGAGAGAAACCATTGGGTTATTACATTTCGCACAAGAGCAAAAACTCAGAGGATATCCCTAATCAGGGGCCAGAGAGTGTGCAATGAACAACCTCGTTGACAGAAACATGGAGCCCTACACTTGCAGCTGGGCATGCTAACAACCTCAGGGATTTACTGTAGTGTGACGTAGTAAAGTACAGAATATGGAGAATCAAGCTAAAACTCTCCACCCCCAAAAAACACAGACACATTTACTCCTTTGGGAAATGTTGCAGTGACTGTTTTTAGACTATATGCGGATGCAACTTATGTTGATATCTGTACAGTTTTGGTCCTCTGTTTTGCACACCGTGACATGTTGTATCAGTTGCAGCACATTCCACAGCACTTGAATAAGATGTGTTTTACTGACCCTAACATTGGAACACCTGGACGTTCACATGGTCTAACGAGGAAAATATTATTTTGACAAAGTGTTGCAAGCCTCAGTACCAAAATAATTCCATTCCACTTTATTGCAGTACGTTTTCTATGTTAATTGTAGAACAATACGAAAGCAATTTGAACACAATTTTATGGCCTTTACATTCGTTCAATCTTAGTCTCTCGTGACATACTTAACATAAATGTCCAGCACACATGAGATTTGGGACTGGGTTCTGAGATTACTTCAATTACTAAGGTTCAAGGAATCATGCAGGCAAAAAAATCTAATAAACCTATCATCATCTCCAAGATCACCACCTCTTGCTAATGTGTAAACACTTATAGCTGCAATGATAATCTTTTAATAAGAAGCGGCCAAATTTCCATTGATCTTATTTGGTCCTCAGCAGCAGCTTGCTACGCCTCTGTTTAATCCAGATGGTAGGAATCCAAAGACATCACTCTTCCCTTTTCCATAAAGTCAGTCTCCTAATAATAGCTCATATCTGACTACCTCTTTTGTCAAAAAGAGCGACACATACAAATAATATGGTTCAGGAGAGACAATGGGGAGGATGAAAACAACAGGATGAGACAGCCTCTTAATGTATGTGCTTGAAGTGAACCTATTGACTGCTCTGTATCATGATGACTCCAGAGTGGAGGGAGTTGGCTTGCTTAGCTTGCTTTCTTGCTGGTATATCAAAGCCAATTATAAAGCCATAGTCTGTATTTTGAAGTATTGTAAATAGTGTTGAATCACAGGCACTCAAACAGCATTTAATAATTTACACATAACTGCCACATGATGGCATGATATAGTCACTTTTACCTCTGTCCTCTTTTTGTGTGTGTGTGGGAAAAACGTCCCCTCTTGGCAGTGGATTTTGTTTTTCAGTGTTAAAGAAAATGTTGCAAGGGTTTCTAAAACCCTTGCAACCTCTTTTTGGTTGTGGGCCCCGTAGCAGCAGTACGTAATCTGTGTATAGGAAGAGGCGGATGTGTGTGTGTGTGTGTGTGTGTGTGTGTGTGTGTGTGTGTGTGTGTGTGTGAGTGTGTGTGCGTGCATGCATCCATCTCATTTTTGAGTGGAGGAAGTATTTCTTTCGATTTAAACAACTCTTCTTTGGAAATAAAAACTGAAAATACGCTATTACCTAGCCCTAGCCTACCTCTTTTAAAACATCCTGTTTATAACCGTGTGGTTAACTGCTACTGTAGAGCAGGTCTTCTAGTCATTACTGCTGGAGAAGATGTGTAAGAGATGCCCCTATGTTGATTTGGGTTGGGGTAAGTGTGAATTTGTATAATACATTATGAATATTAAGTTATTATTAAATTAATATATTTGTAACATTATTATCATATAGATGGTTTTCACAACGCCCTCATTAAATCCAGGCCTAGAAGGTTAGAATGCTAATTGTGTCAGAATGTACCTATTAAATAGAATTCTCAAAATCGGGACATAATTGTGAAATAAAAATGTTACACTTTGAACCAAATAGTCTTTCTTCATCAGCCACACACTAGAATTTAAAAGTTGTCTTCAATGTGTTTATTTTGTATTTGTTTGTTACAGCAGTGTATATGATGACCAGTTTAGTCCTTTCCGAGAGTCTACTAATAATCCAAGCAGACTGCAATGAAGATATTTATATGAAGTGTGAAGCTATCCAGGATAAGAGCTATCGATCCATTACATGGTATAAGGTAGGCCATAATTGGTACTGCATTTACATTTTAGTCATTTAGCAGACACTCTTATCCAGAGAGACTTACAGTTAGAGAGTGCATACATTTTCATACTGGCCCCCCGTGGGAAACAATCCCACAACCCTGGCGTTGCAAGCACCATGCTCTACCAACTGAGCTACAGGGGAACGTCTCTATTTCAAATACATTTGGGTATTCGTTGATGACGTGAGTGCTATGAGAAGTAAATCTTTAAAATCAAACTATATAATTTTGTATTGTAAAGGCAAATATTATTTGTGTATTCTGCTCTGTTTGCAACTAGTGTCACATATTATGCTAAACAAAAAGATAAACGCAATTTGCAACAATTTCAAAGATTTTACTGAGTTACAGTTCATATGAGGAAATCAGTCAATCAGTCAGTTGGCCGGGGTAGGCCATCATTGTAAATAAGAATTCGTTCTTAACTGACTTGCCTAGTTAAATAAAGGATAAATTAAAATTAAAAATAATAATAATTAGGCCTTAATCCATGGATTTCACATGACTGGGAATACAGATATATACAGTGGCTTGCGAAAGTATTCACCCCCTTGGCATTTTCCTGTTTTGTTGCCTTACAACCTGGAATTAAAATTGATTTTTTGGGGGTTTGTATCATTTGATTTACACAACATGCCTACCACTTTGAAGATGCAAAATATTTTTTATTGTGAAACAAACAAGAAATAAGACAAAAAAACTGAAAACTTTAGCGTGCATAACTATTCACCCCCCCCCCCCCCCCCCCTCCCCAAAAAGTAAATACTTTGTAGAGCCACCGTTTGCAGCAATTACAGCTGCAAGTCTCTTGGGGTATGTCTCTATAAGCTTGGCACATCTAGCCACTGGGATTTTTGCCCATTCTTCAAGGCAAAACTGCTCCAGCTCCTTCAAGTTGGATGGGTTCCGCTGGTGTACAGCAATCTTTAAGTCATCCCACAGATTCTCAATTGGAATGAGGTCTGGGCTTTGACTAGGCCATTCCAAGACATTTAAATGTTTCCCCTTAAACCACTCGAGTGTTGCTTTAGCAGTATGCTTAGGGTCATTGTCCTGCTGGAAGGTGAACCTCCGTCCCAGTCTCAAATCTCTGGAAGACTGAAAGAGGTTTCCCTCAACAATTTCCCTGTAATTGGCGCCATCCATCATTCCTTCAATTCTGACCAGTTTCCCAGTCCCTGCCGATTAAAAACATCCCCACAGCATGATGCTGCCACCACCATGCTTCACTGTGGGGATGGTGTTCTCGGGGTGATGAGAGGTGTTGGGTTTGCGCCAGACATAGCGTTTTCCTTGATGGCCAAAAAGCAAAATTTTTGTCTCATCTGACCAGAGTACCTTCTTCCATATGTGTGGGGAGTCTTCCACATGCCCTTTAGCGAACACCAAACGTGTTTGCTTATTGTTTTCTTTAAGCAATGGCTTTTTTCTGGCCACTCTTCCATAAAGCCCAGCTCTGTGGAGTGTACAGCTTAAAGTGGTCCTATGGACAGATACTCCAATCTCCGCTGTGGAGCTTCGCAGCTCCATCAGGGTTATCTTTGGTCTCTTTGTTGCCTCTCTGATTAATGCCCTCCTTGCCTGGTCCGTGAGTTTTGGTGGGCGGCCGTCTCTTGGCAGGTTTGTTGTGGGGCCATATTATTTCAATTTTTTTATAATGGATTTAATGGTGCTCTGTGGGATGTTCAAAGTTTCTGATATTTTTTTATAACCCAACCCTGATCTGTACTTCTCCACAACTTTGTCGCTGACCTGTTTGGAGAGCTCCTTGGTCTTCATTGTGCCGCTTGCTTGGTGGTGCCCCTTGCTTAGTGGTGTTGCAGACCCTGGGCCTTTCAGAACAGGTGTATATATACTGAGATCATGTGACAGATCATGTGACACTTAGATTGCACACAGGTGGACTTTATTTAACTAATTATGTGACTTCTGAAGGTAATTGGTTGCACCAGATCTTATTTAGGGGCTTCATGGCAAAGGGGGTGAATGCATATGCACGCACCACTTTTCCGTTATTAATTCTTTTGAATTTTTTCAAACAAGTTATTTTTTTCATTTCACTTCACCAATTTGGACTATTTTGTGTATGTCCATTAAATGAAATCCAAATAAAAATAAATTTAAATTACAGGTTGTAATGCAACAAAATAGAAAAAATGCCAAGGGGGATGAACACTTTTGCAAGGCACTATATCTGTTGGTCACAGATACCTTTAAAAAAAAATGGGCCTCACAATGGGCCTCAGGATCTTGTCACGGTATTTTTGTGCATTCAAATTGCCATCGATAAAATGCAATTGTGTTCGGTGTCCGTAGCTTATGCCTGCCCATACCATAACCCCACCGCCACCAACTTAGACATTAGAAAACCACTCACCAACATGACACCATACATGTGGTCTGCGGTTGTGAGGCTAGTTGGAAGTACTGCCAAATTTTGTGCACAGAATTCAAGAGAAATAAGCTTTTTGTGCGTATGGAACATTTCTGGGATCTTTTATTTCAGCTCATGAAACATGGGACCAACACTTTATATGTTGCATTTATATTTTTGTTCAGTGTACATATTGTCACGATTCTCTAAAGCAGAACCCAGAAGCAGACCAGGACAAGGTAGTAGAACGAAGGTGAGTATTTATTTCACTGACTCAAATGTGGAAACAGAATCATCCAGGAGACGGAGAGCGGGCATCGGAGGGGTGAAGTTGGTGGGAGTGAATAGGCAGATCCAATGGTGTCCACAGAAGCCACCGACGACCAGGCAGGGGTGGGGTGAATGTTTCCGGGAGAATGACTGGTAGAACCGAGTAAACAGAGGTTGATACACGGCAGCCAAAATTACAGAACAAACAAACTAACTCATAGTAAGCTTGAGGCTGAAACGCTGACACAACATACTGTTCATGGCTAATGAGCCGACAGGGAATAGATGTCAGTCAGAGCTCAAAGGGGGGTAATAGAGAGATCTCCCGCCTAGCTTCGTCGCCTGGCAACCAGACAGGGTGCGTTCAGACAGGGTACTAGAAGTCAGGGCAGTTAATGGAGTGGCCACACGGCTGTAATCACGGATAAATCTACGATAGAAATTCGCAAACCCCAGAAACCTCTGGAGCTGCAATCTCGTACCGGGCTGGTCCCAATCCAGAACCGCCCTAACCTTCTCATGATCCATCCTAATCTCTCCCCTGGAGATGATGTACCCGAGGAAGGATGTAGTGTGGGCGTGAAATTCACACTTCTCGGCCTTCACAAACAGGCGGTTCTCCAACAATCGCTGCAGAACCTGCTTGACATGCTGGACGTGGCTGGAAAGCTCCTTAGAGAAGATAAGAATGTCATCCAGGTACACGAACACAAAAAGACCGATCATATCTCTCAGGACGTCATTCACCATACTCTGGAACACTGCTGGAGCATTGGTCAGTCCAAACGGCATCACCTGATACTCGAAATGACCCATCGGTGTATTGAAACCAGTCAACCACTCGTCCCTCTCTCTGATCCGGACCAGATGATACGCATTGCGTAGATCTAGCTTGGTGAACAGAGTAGCACCCTGTAAGGAGTCGAAAGCAGAGCTCATCAAGGGCAGGGGATACTTGTTCTTGACTGTAATATCATTCAAACCCCGATAATCAATACAAGGTTGAAGAGAGCCATCCTTCTTACTCACAAAAAAGAATCCTGCCCCCAGGGGTGATGACGAGGGACGAATGAGACCAGCAGCTAGAGACTCCTTTATGTAGGTCTCCAAAGCTTCACGTTCAGGTCGAGAGATACTGTATAACCGTCCCTTGGGATAGGCAGCTCCAGGGAACAGGTTAATGGCACAATCATATGGTCGGTGGAGAGGAAGTGACAGAGCCTTCTGCTTACTGAACACTTCCCCCAAATCGTGATATGTTTCAGGAACCAGGGACAAATCTGGGGGGGTAGACTCAATGACCTGACTGGGAACAGAATGGGAACAGGCAGTCTTAAGGCAGTTAGCATGACATTCAATGCTCCAACTAGTTACCTTGCCAGTCACCCAATCAAACGTGGGATTGTGTTCTCTCAGCCAGGGGTATCCAAGAACCAGAGGAACATGGGGAGAAGGCAGAATGAAGAAGGAGATAACCTCTGAATGATTCCCTGACAACAGCATCTTATCCAGTTCTGTCCTCATAGTGATACGTGCCAGACTACTGCCGTTCAGAGTGGTAGCTTCAATGGCTTCCGGTAATCGCTCCTTGGTAAGCCCCAGCTGTTCCACCAAGTCGGCATCAATAAAGCTGCCATCGGCACCTGAATCGATGAAAGCGTTAATCGCTAAACTCTGATTCTTGTTCATGAGGGTAGCAGGAAAACGGGGTCTGACAGGGCTATTGAGAGGTTGAAACTGGCTCGCTAAAAGTCCTCCCAAATTTAGCGAGCTGGGCAGTTTAACGGGCGCTGGGGACAAGCGGAGATGTAATGTCCCGAGCTACCACAGTAGAGGCAGCTGTTGGTCTCACGTCTACGTTGGCGCTCCTCCTTGGTTAACCCGTGCTGCCCCACTTGCATGGTTTCAGGATCTGGAGGCAGGACCTCTCCACTAATCCCGTGTGGTGAACAATGATCGACTTGTTCTGGTCCACTTCCTGACCCGAATGGTAACCGAGTAGCTGATTGATTGGACGGGCCCCATTGCTTCTCCCTCCTTCTCTCTCGGACTCTGTTATCCACCCGAATAGATAATGCTACCAAACTGTCCAGGTCACTAGGCTCCGGATAGGAGATCAGCTCAGTTGCTTGAGTTGCTCCGACAACCCCTGATAAAAAGCCGCTTGTAGTGACTCCTCATTCCACCCACTCTCCACAGCCAACACTAATCCACACTGCATAAGAAATGAACGGCATCTTCCCAAATCCCCTTCGTACTTATCTGGCGTCGGAACCTTGGGCTCACAGAAGGAAACAGCTCCAGAAGCAGGTGAGAGGGGTGAAGCAGGTGGTGGATGATCCGCCGGCAAACTGAGCTGAGCCTGGATACTCGTCAGACTAGCAGAAAAGTTCCGAACCGAAAACGCTATCTCCTGTAGCGCCGTGCTGTGTTGTCCCAACATCTTCTCCTGATGGGTAATGGAATGGCGTACAGAGTCCAGGTCCGCTGGGTTCATTCTTGGCCGGATCGTTCTGTCACGATTCTCTAAAGCAGAACCCAGAAGCAGACCAGGACAAGTTGAGTAGAACGAAGGTGAGTATTTATTTACTGACTCAAATGTGGAAACAGAATAATCCAGGAGACGGAGCGGGTAGCGGAGGTGAGTTGGTGGGAGTGAATAGGCAGATCCAATGGTGTCACAGAAGCCACCGACGACCAGGCAGGGGTGGGGTGAATGTTCCGGGAGAATGACTGTAGACAGAGTAAACAGAGGTGAGTACACGGCAAGCAAAAATTACAGAACAACAAAACTAACTCTAGTAAACTTGAGGCTGATACGCTGACACAACATACTGTTCATGGCTAATGATCCGACAGGGAATAGATGTCAGGTCAGAGCTCATGAAGTGGAGAGGTGATGATCAGGACCAGGTGTGCAGATAGCTGATGAGATGCAGGTGCGGGTAATAGAGAGATCTCCCGCCTAGCTTCGTCGCGTGGCAACCAGACATGGTGCGTTCAGGAACCTCAGGAAACAGACTTTAGAACAGAAAACAGGCAACACAGGCAGAAACAGACTCAGGAAGCGGGATTCATGACACATATTCTATAATATTATTACATTAGAGCATTTTTTTCTACTGAGAGAAGGCTTCAATAACTCCCTCCTGTGTGAGACATTAAATCTAATATGGATCACTTCTTCTGGTAAAATACCTCTGATAAAATAACAGAATAGATCAATATAAAGTCAATACAATCTTATTTTCTCTGTGTTTAGCTGAACAACCGGACTGGTATTATCAGAAGAAGTGACAATGAGAAGCCACAGTCATATGAATTTCCCCGACCTGCCAGGTTTGGAGCGATGGACAGTCTCATTCTTCCCAGAGTCAGACCTGAGGATGCAGGGACCTACCAGTGTCTCATCAGGGCCAACATAGGACAGACCAACAGAGTCTCAAATGTCACCCTCAATGTATCTACAGGTAAACTATCACTCACTATACTGGTTTGACTTAGAGTTGGATATGGAAATTAATAGTACTATAACCTAGGTTATGACGAGGGATGATGGATTTATTGATTGTTTGGATACATTGCTTTAATCACCATAAAAGCCACTGGGCCAGGCGAAAATACAGGTTTCATAGTACAGTACAGGCCCAGAGAATAACTAATGAAAGTGAGCATTCTGTAACTTTCCTGGTCTCATGAACTTTTATCATATATCCACAGATTGTGTGATCCAGACTACAGTGGCAGTGACAGCATGGCAGGACGTGACTCACAGTACCCCACTGTGTACCATGCACGTGGTGGAGGTCTCTGTCATATGGACTTCATGTGGATTCTTGATTCTTGGCCTTGTCAAAATCGCTCTGTGTCTCACCTCCATTGAGGTAAATCAATATTCTTTACATCCAAATATATATTTTGTATATAGCCTTTAGCCCTACGTGGTGTCATGGTAGCAGAATATGTAGTTGTTAGGCTACATTACTGGATTTTTTCAAATTTCAGCTCCTCAGATTTACCATAGGTACAATGACACAAACTAGTGAGTGTGGAGGGTTCTTACTGAAATAATATGAGTTGTTTTCATGACAGATGACTATCCAAACTCCATAACTGCAGGGGTTTTGACACTCTAGGTGAGGTGACGTAGCCCTTTCCTGCAGTCAAATGACCCAGGGGCCTCATGGGTGGAATCTTATTAATATTTTTCATAATGTCATAGTTAATAAACATTGTTTTTTGTAAAAACTCAGAAAATCCGGTATTTCTATATCAAACAGTTTTGTTATATTTCAGTCTTCTGTGATGTATATAAATTGTAATATTGGGATGCAAACTCAAAATGTAATACATTTCAACTCTATATCTGACATGATACAGGTGTCTTCTTTTTTTAAGCCCATAACCATGTGTGTGAGGTGTATACTTTTGTTTCAAAGTAGGTTTGTTTAAGACTACCAAGAAACAATCTGTGTAACTCTGATTTAGCCCACTGCAGTAAAAGTTAATAGATGGTTGAGGATTCACTCTGTGAGGTGACATTTCCTCTCAAAGCGAGACCCCTCAATAAACAGTTGCCCCCGCATCCTCTCTTCTTTTCTCCAAATGTGCAAAATATAGGTGGGCATAGTTTTCCCCTCAAAGACGCTGACATTATATTCATGTTAATTTTTCTCATCAGGTTGTTCGAAACATCAAGAGGAGACATAGCAGGGGAAGACAACAGCAGTGGTAATGAAAATGGTTGCGTCTTGGTCAACAGTTCTGAGTGCAGTGATTTCAAAAACATGTTAGGCGTATGAAAACATCTGTTAGATAGTTAGCTACAGGTAGATGCCAAAATAAAGGAAACACTTGAGAGTAAATGAGGGATTCAAAGTATATTGGAAGCAGGTGCTTCCACACAAGTGTGGTTCCTGAGTTAATTAAGCAAATAACATCTCATCACCCTTAGGTTCATGTATAAAAATGTCCAGTTGCCCATTATTTTGGTTACCATGGCTAGAAGAAGAGATCTCAGACTTTGAAAGAGGGGTCTCAAAGGAGTATAGGGGGTTTAAGGGTGTGTGTGTGTGTGTGTGTGTGTGTGTCTGTGTGTCTGTGTGTCTGTGTGTCTGTGTGTCTGTGTGTCTGTGTGTGTGCGTCTCAGTCACCAGATCTCAACCCAATTGAACACATATGGGAGATTCTGGAGTGGTGCCTAAGACAGTGTTTTCCACCACCATAAACAAAACACCAAATGATTTCTCGTGGAAGAATGGTGTTGCATCCCTCCAATAGAGTTCCAGACACTTGTAGAATCTATGCCAAGGCGCATTGAGGCTGTTCTGGCTCGTGGTGGCCCAATGCCCTATAGACGGGTTGGCTGACAACGTCACGAGAATGATACATGCACATGAGGCAGTCAGTGTGGCGTTATGATTCTGAATGGTCAGATAGCTAGCAACAATTACAAGAAATATGGCTAAAATTTGCTAGCTAGCTAACCAACAACCGTAACGATGTATTTGAGAGACAAGTGCTCATTGTGCACATTTATTTATAAACACTTGGAGACTAAATATAGTTTACATGTTTAAAAAAATTTAAGTAACACTGTCTGTTTTGCCCTATAGTTTGGCACGCATCAGTTTTGTTACTAAACAACCAACCCGTCTATAAAGACACTTTTATGTTAGTGTTTCCTTTATTTTGGCAGTTACTTGTAGGTCACCTGGAATAAACTTCAAATTTGTGACAGACACAATCATTTAAAGTAAAACCTTACAATGCAATGAAAGATGTAAATATCTGCTTCAAATATACAGTTTATTAGAAGTTATGCTTTGTGTTGCTAAAATCTTGCAATGATACACTGAGCAGTTATCCACTAAATGCAATTCTATACTGATTGTTCACCCTACTTATCATAGACTACTGTATTGATTTCATTCTGACAATACTGGATTTGATGGGTGAAGATCCATTGATGGGTGAATATCCAAGATTCACTTTGTGAAATGTTTGATGCTGATGAGGTCTGAATCATGTCCAGGATTGCTGGTAGCCCCTGCTGGTCGTGCCCTATCGAGTAAACTCACACTGTTCAAACAGCAGGGTGCTGTGATGACGACTTAGGGTCAGGCTTTGGGGATTTCTCTGCGTATGATATAGTATTGTTATTAACTATGTAGGCCAGAATATACAAATGCTCAGGTTTATTGTTTTCTGTATTCTTCAACTGTATTGCGCCTTATGTATGTTACAGAAAAAAAACCTTTCCAAACAACTGTCTGTGGTTTTTCACATTTACGTATCTAGGCTTCTGCCAGGAAGTGTGTGTGTGTGTGTGTGTGTGGGGGGGGGGAGGGGTCTTTTTTTTCTTCTTTCTCACAAGAAACACCTAGGCCTACAAACCAATTCGATGTAAGGTGACTCAGACTCTGTTGTTTATGTCTGTCTGTGATATGTTTTCCTTTTTAAAAAACGTAAATCATGTCTGTTAAAACAGCAAGTAAGTAAGCAAGTTGAAAATTATTATTTGTTTCAACATGGATAATCTTCCTCCTGCCCATGCAATGTTGTTTCCGTTCCTGTTCTTGCTTTCCTACCTAGAGAAAGTGAAAGAGCTATATCATTCTACCCTTATTGCCTGTATTGGCCTTACCCTGTGGGGGAAATCCAGCTGGTTTGGATGTTGTACTGCTGGGTGCATTGGCTTGACAGAATCTACTGATCATAGAGGGGCTAACTCAGACTCCCCAATGACTTGACCAATGTACTGCAGCAGATTACGCTGGTAGCATCAGAACAAAGGAACATATTTTATGGATCAGGTACGCATTGATTTGAAATTTACAGAGATGTGCCTTCTCATTGAGGGTCGATTGAAATAGACAATTTGAAAACATGAGTACAGTACTCCACCTGTTGGTGATTTTTGAAAATACAACCGGAACTTTAACACAACAACTTAGATATAATATCACATGGATAAAAAGGTGTTATGTAAAAGTTGTTTTTCTTAAATAAAAATACTGTACAAATATATATTTGAAATGTTGTACTGTAGTTTATCATGTGGACATTCATACAGGTTCATAGTGCTACTCATGCGTACGTGGCAAATCGTCCCATGCATTAACGTTGAGCTTTTATGGTTCCTTTTTTCTTAAATACTTGCAATCCGATTCATTACTCCTGTTTGATACAGCCTGACAGGGGGGCCATCTTTTGTATTTTATTAGGATCCCCATTAGCTGTTGCGAAAGCAGCAGCTACTCTTCCTGGGGTCCACGCAAAACATGAAACATGACATAACACAGAACATTCATAGACAAGAACAGCTCAAGGACAGAACTACATCAATAAGAAAATGGCACACGTAGCCTACATATCAATACATACACACAAACTATCTAGGTCAAATAGGGGAGAGGCATTGTGCCGTGAGGTGTTGCTTTATCTGTTTTTTTAAACCAGGTTTGCTGTTCATTTGAGCAATATGAGATGCAAGGGAGTTCCATGCAATAATGGCTCTTTATAATACTGTACGTTTTCTTGAATTTGTTCTGGATTTGGGGACTGTGAAAAGTCCCCTCGTCGCATGTCTGGTGGGGTAAGTGTGTGTGTCAGTGCTGTGTGTAAGTTGACTATGCAAACAATTTGGAATTTTCAACACATTAATGTTTCTTATAAAAAGAAGAAGTGATGCAGTCAGTCTCTCCTCAACTCTTAGCCAAGAGAGACTGGCATGCATAGTATTTATATTAGACCTCTGATTACAATGAAGAGCAAGACGTGCCACTCTCTTCTGGGCCAGCTGCAGCTTAACTAGGTTTATTTCATTGCGTTTCATGTGTATTATGGCAGCTAAAAGCTAAATTACAGTAACACGTACAAGAAACACATTTAAATTAATAAGATGAGATGCAACAAATTGAACAAAATCAAATCGATTTTGGTGGTTGAAGGGACTGAGCAGTTGAGAGAGGAGGGAGCATCCTGGTCAAAGTCACAGCCAGGGAGGTCGGTGGTCATATCAGAGTCAGAGACAGGTCCGCAGCCATCAGCACACCTCGCTGTCCCCGACGTCCTCAGTCTCTCCTTATGGAATCCGTAGGTAGTTGACTAGCAACTCCTCTACACTACCAATGTGTAGCACCCACTTGGGTGATGCCCCGGCAGCCGCTGCTTCCAGACAGCCCACCACACATCGTACTCGTCCGAGTAGCTAGTTGTCTTCATCTTTACAGGCCTCTGCTATCTCCCCAATCCTCTCACTATACTTCTCTCTGCCTCTCAAGCCGTTGAAGTTATCAAAAGATAATTTAAGTCACCCTATAGTTTAAATTTAAAATATATATATTTTCTAATCTATATTCACTAATTCACGTTTTTCTAATGTGTCTCAATTGCAGTCAAAGTGAGAAAATGTATATAGTAATAAAACAGGCAGGGAGAATGAGCTTGTCCGCAGTGGTATTCAAACCCCCAACCTTCTGGGCCGTAGCCCAGCGTAGCATCAACTGTGCCATAAAAGAACGATTGTGTGGCAGAGTCAATTTCCGCAATTATGAACACAGTGTCACTACAATATTTAACTAAATAAGTCACACTGGAGTTAAATCCTTCACTTTGTACTGTTTGCTTCTCACATTTTCACAAACACTATATACAAGTAAAAACATCAGCCCAATAACAAAGCCAATAAGCCAAATCTGCATGTCACAACAATGTCCAAATACACAGTGTCCATATAACAATGTCCAAATACACAGCACATGAAACTTCCACGTTCAAAGCCTTTTCTGTGCCTTTTTTTTATGACCAACAACTACAACACTTCAGTATTTACAGTGGAAAATACTGCAAGTGGCACTGAAACAACACAGGATCTCCTTGAAGGTTTTGCGCATCTCGAGGCTGCGGAAGGCATAGATGACGGGGTCTATGACAGAGTTACACATGATGAGCACCAGGTAGGTAGTGAAGTGGGACATGTAGCAAACACAGAGCGGGTTCTTGGGACAGGTGATGAGGAGGATGAGGTGGAGGAAGAAAGGTGCCCAGCAGCAGACGAACACCCCCAGAAGAATGGTGATGGTGACTGCTCCCTTCATGCAGGTCCTCTGGGGCACCAAGCCCTCCACAGGAAGAGCAGCGATGCGCTTGATGTGCAGCCTCGCCAGCAGGAACATGTGAATGTACAGAGTGGCCATGAGCACCAGCATGGTGAAGAACATGATGATCAGACACACAATGACCGTCTTGCTCTCTGAGAAGACGATGAAGACTATCCCACAGACCACACATGTCAGCCAGATCCCCCCGATGGCCAGGAGAGCCCGTCGCATCGTCACGATGCTGTGGTAGCGCAGGGCATAGACGATGGTCACGTAACGGTCAATGGCGATAGCTAGAAGGTTACAGATGGAGGCCACCAGGGAGATACAGATCATGGAGTCAAAGAAGTTGTCCATAAGTTGAATAAAGTGGTCGTCCGCCACTATCAACCGACTGTTCAGCGCAGCGATAACCACCGTCTCTAGTGAGTTGGAGACACTCACCAGCATGTCAGCAGCAGCAAGACTACACAGGAAGACGTACATGGGTGAGTGGAGGTTCTTGTTCTTCACCACTGCCGATATCACCAAGATGTTCTCCAGAAGGCTGACGATCCCCAGAGTCAGGAATACCTCAGCCTGGATGTGGACCGGCTCACACAGACCAGGCTCGATGCTGGTGCCGATGGCCGGTCCGGTTCCCCTGCTGGTCTTCCCCGGCCAGAGACTCCCTAGTAGTCTCATTGAGCCAAAGGTCCGGCGGCAACATATGTCTGTAAGTGTTGTTCATCTGGTGGGAATTTAGACAACAGTTCACAGAGGGAGATGCCGGGATGCCGGGATGCAGGAATACAAGGTAATGAGCGAGCCACCTGCCCCATAAGAGCCTCTTCTGGAGCCCTGCTGCTGGATGCTCCTCCTTTTAGATCACAGCTAGAGAGAACTGTGGTTGTCTGGTTTCTCCTGAGCCCTGAGAACCCTTTCAGCCCCCCCGGTCCAATTCAATGAACACATACATTCACTCAAGCGCACACAGACACATACATTCACTCAAGCGCACACACAGACAGACACACACACACACATTCAGTAGTTTGACATTTCACCTTATACAACTTTCACTTCACCTGATAATACTTAATCAATGACATTCATTCTATTTGACTGCCTTCTTGAAAGGAAAAATAACCCAGGCAATTGAGAAACTTACAGTAAATTCAACTGACAAAACCGATGGTGCATGTAAAATCAAAATAGAGAAGAATCATTGTTTCACCAAATCATTTAAAGCCAAATGAGATTTGGTTACACACACACACACACACACACACACACACACACACACACACACACACACACACACACACACACACACACACACACACACACACACACACACACACACACACACACACACACACACACACACACACAACAAGCAAAAAGGGTGTTTATAGACATTTCTAGCATTTAGGTCTAATAGTAGATAGAACCTGAGACCTACTGTATTTCCTTAATCTCTATGAAACTTGTCAGAACATATAGACATAACAACGGGTCTAACCTTTTCTTGCCTCAGGAACCGTCTGTTTGCATTTCATCCAACATAGCATTACACAACTGGGGGGGGGGGGGGGGGCACCATAGGGGAGACCTGTCCTTTGGGAATAACTGAATGGAACAAATTGATCTGTGAGTCTAAAGTAAAATATGTAATTAGCAGAGTTGCTTAGTTGCACTATCTGCTAAGGGTAAACCACTATGACTATGTCATGGTCTAATCTGGTTCATCAGACACAATCAGCCTTGGGACAGGGTTATGGTTAGTCCACTGCCAGTGCCTACGGCTAACTGACTGTCTCTAACCATCTCCTCACTTACAGTAACCTGCATGCACCTTGTCATTCTGATTATGCTCTATAGCTGGAAGAATCTGTTCTATAGCTATTACTATTGGGCCAAACATAACCCAAAACAGACTGTAAATGCATCCAACTAGTTTTTTGAGATCACAAGCTTGATGTAGTCATTGTGTGGAAGAAATATGGGAACATCTACTACACGTTTTACTACTTCCATACACTATAAGTGAATTTTTCAAAATACTTATGACTTCTTCACATGGGGGGATTAAATACATTAAGTGCTTTCATTTATAAATGGTAAATCAGGCATGAAAATAACCTTAAAGGTACAATCAGCTGTTACTACATCAATTTTTTGACTTATAAATTCACGATTCTTGATTCTTGAAGAATATAACTTAGAAATGCATCATGAGCTTAGTTCAACTGTCATACCCCATCAGAACCCAAAATATAAGCTTGTTTTACTCCAATGTTTTTAAACAAAGAAAATGTTAACAAAACATGGTTAAAACTATAATTTTCATATCATGGTTGTTCAATCCTTGCATCATAGTTCTGTCTATGAATTTGAGAGTTACATTTCTCCAGCCCCATCCCTCAGCTTTTTACCGAACCAGGGTTGGGGAGGGCACTTTGTTATTGTTTCTACTGCTGATTGCTGCTTTAAGTAAAAGGTGACATTCTGTAGGCTACTGTAGTCTCATATGAAACATTTGATCTCAAATCCAAAATGCTGGATTATTGAGCCAAATAAAACAATTTAGCTTCACTGTCCAAATACATATGGAGGGGAGTGTACACATCACAAACCTGTTTTTATGTATGACACATGTTGACACTAGATGGCACCTCTGCATCGCAGAGAATAGTTAAACAGTGGAAAGCACTACTTATTCCTGTGATCAAGAGCAATAGAGGGTTGGCTCTGACCTCTATGAGGCCATCAGACTGCTGCCAGCAGAGACCGTTTCTTGCCAGGCCAGTGTAGTTATGAATGGCTTTAGACAGTAAAAGAGAGAGGGAGCTATTCCCGTGGGAGAGAAGCGAGCCTGCCATTATCTTATATTGAGCAGTGCCAAAGCAGACTGTCGGTTGTCACTAGTTACCACAGCCACAAAGTAAAAATGGGCTTATCTTAAACATTTACTTTAGCTAGGGTTAGGCAAAAGGTTAGCAGTGTGGTTAAGGTTAGTGTTAGGTTTAAAATCAGATTTTAAGAATATACATTTTAGAAATAGTCATGGTTTAATAATTATGACTTTATGGCTGTGGTAACTATTGACGACCCAGACAGTCGGCTACCAAGTTGTTATACTGCTTTTAACACCAATGTATTTTAAAACAAGCCAGGTCACCCGTGATACAAGTCAGTATTCGACGTCAGGATGTCGGTAAATGACATGGAAACCGGATAATGTGTGAGGATGTCGGTAAATGACATGGAAACCGGCTAATAGGGGCAACAGTAAGCATCTACCTCTGATTCCAAAGGTTGCAAGATCGAATCCAGCAATCGAATGATATTTTGGATATTTTTGTTTTAAGACTATCCTAACCTTAACCCGTACCTTAACCATTAGGAGTTAATGCCCAACCTTAAGAATTTTGAGTTAATGCCTGAACTTAACCCTAACCTTAAAAAATCGGAGTTAATGCCTAAATGTAAACTTAAAGACTTCGAAATTTGAAGTTTGAAACAACTTACAAATTTGATGTTTGAGAAACATTGGAGGAATGTCTATTTCTGACATGTGACTGTGAATGCTAGTAGTTTAAAGTAGGCCTATGTCCTCACTCCACATTGTCCCTGCAGATATAGAATGTATGGTTAGTCCTATATAGGCACATTTGGAGACCTCTGCTGCAGCCTCTCAAACCTTGTGTGTAGTAGTGGTACACCTGCACCCCGTCCGCAATTGCTAATAACTAATCTGCACCCGCCCGCAATTGCTAATAACCCATCTGCACTTGCCCTACAATATGTGATAAAGTGAAAATCTGAGGCCCGCACCCGACCCTAACCCGCTAATATCAGAAAATGATCTGTAGGTTTCAGTGAGAGAAGGCGTAACGATTTTTTTGACAGGGGGTGCAAGATTGTTTTTGCTTGATTTAGATATGTTTCTGCTTGTAATTTTCTAGTTGCCCTAGAAGATGAAATAAACCCTTGCTCCCCAGAACAATGTCATAAATCGATAGAATGAATGCGTCAATCTAGTTGACATCGGTCAAGTTTTCTGTCATCTCTGCTTTATTTGCGGAGCAAACGTTTAGGGACCGGGGAGAACAAGCAAAAGGCCTAACAACAACAACAAAAAACAAGAACGATTTTCTGTGCAAAATGTCCAAATGCCATCAGTTTTCCCGGTTGTAATTAAATATAAAGCTGTGAAAATGACCCAACATGTTGCTGATAAGATTTCAGTTAGGCTTGGATGCATATTTTATGTGCTTGAAAAATGATCAGCTTTTATGATGCTGATAAAGATAGCACCTCTACAGACAGTAAGTCATTCTCTCAAGATGCTTAAAGAAATAAATCATATTTCTCCACTTGTTGCCAAGTCAAAATGTAGCCTACATTTGGTAGCCTATATCATTTTACTGCAAGAAATGCTTAATTCTGCAGGAGTTAATATTAAGGCTATGTGAGAGGTTATAGACCTACAGTCAGTGTCCAGATTTCAGTTTCCATTTAACCCATCTGAACAGTAGTCTTCTAAGTTCCCTTGACATGACATGCCTATTTGAAGTCCCGGTCTTGTGACTGTCGAATTTGTATAGTGCCTCACAATCATCACACATAACATAGCCGGAAATGCTATCATCCTCTTTTACCTTTCCCAAAAATTACTTTTCTGGCTCTCCCTTCTATTTATTTTCAACCCTCCATTTCGCAGCTTTACTCTTACTGAATTAAACGTCGACATTGTCCTTTTTGCCTCGGTGGATGTACGTTCACCTTTTCAGCCCGTTCCCAAACGCATTTGGCTATTGGCATGTGGGCTATTTGTCGCGCCTACAGTTAAGCCCTAAAGTTTAGGCTTACGCACTAATGCCAGATAGCCTAAAATAAAAACCTCATGTAGCCTAAATATATAAATTGGACAAGAATTATACATTTATGGATATTTTAAGGTATTGTCTTATCTTTATTCAACCTACACGCCACCCACCAGCCCTTCATCCACACAATGTTGCATGACCCTAAACCCGCCCACCGTGCGGATATAACCGCGAGGATTACGGGTTATGAGTCAAACCGGGCATCACTAGGGTGTAGGCCTGTGTGTGTGTGTATCGGAGGGGTTGGGTAAAAAAAGCAGAAGAAACATTTCCATTTCAATGGACTAATAAAAGTACCTCTCATATTTTGCGTTGTTGTGCACGCAATGGTGGGTGCCACTAACGAAATCACCAATGAACTGAAGTCACCTCTTTAACCAGCCAATGCAATAGGAAGTAGGCCTATCTTTCAATTATCTACGAAAAACAACTAGGCTATGTATCAAGTGTTACTTATTACAATAGTAGTCTCCATGTAGTCGGTCTCCATTTATTTCCAAACATATGAATTCTGCTTAAAGGTCCTGACCTTTATGGCACAGGTGCGTGTTGCTCTTATCCTTTAACTTCAAACAAGGTCACTGGTTCAAGTCCCTACCCCCTCAAATTAAGTTTTACATGGCTTACCTGTGTGGCCCCTTCCCTTGTGGGATCCTCCATGGATGGGTTACAGGCTATAAGATCACATGATGATTGACCATTTTTTATGAACGTTGACATGGCATCTGTTTTGCAGGGAGGAACCAGAAAACCAGACTACTGGAATGCTTTGCATTTTGGTTGTTATTAGTGAAACAAAATAAATCACCTGCCCGATGGGGCAACCACAGAGCAGGCTCAATTTGCGCACATCCATAATAACTTGAACAACGCGTTAGGAGTTAACCTGTAAACCAATAGTTAATCTTCTCCAAGAGTGCAAAAACAACAAAGTCAAAGTAATAAAAGAGATAGAGGCTTCAAGGTCTGCACTAAAGCGTCACATAACGAGCTTTGGAGCTCATATTCGACTTGGAAATGGAAACCATATCAACATTCGCTAAGAAACTTTGGTGTGTCAAGAAACAACTTATTCTTTTCCTCACTCCACTTATTCTTCTCCCGTTACTTTTTGGTCTACCGGAAAAGGTACGTGCTTATTGGAAGATACACAGGTATTGTTACTGTGACCATTTATTCCTCTAACTCACAAGAATAAATAGTTTAAACTTTTAAGTTATACCTAAACCAAATTGCTGAACCATATCAAATTGTCATGAACTACTAACTGAAAGTCAGGTAGCCTACTTGCTAAATACAGTATTGCCGCATAGCCTAAAACTGATATGATCATTAATATCCACACCTGCCTTTAAATTCAAACACCCTTTAACCCCACATCTGTTGGACTTCACTGAAATTAGAATCAGGATCATAAAACCTACAATTCTATCATTTGGATCTGTTTTAGGTTGATAAAGTTATTCCAGCGTATAGGACATGCCCCATACACATTACATTTTAATCATTTAGCAGACACTCTTATCCAGAGCGACTTACAGGAGCAATTAGGGTTAAGTGCCTTGCTCAAGGGCACATCGACAGATTTTTCACCTAGTCGGCTCGGGGAATTAGAACCAGCGAACCTTTCGGTTACTGGCACAACGCTCTTAACCACTAAGCTACCTGCCACTCCATTATATATCTAAAACAACAATCCTTACATCCATAACTTGACTTAACTTCATTCCCCCCTCTTAATCATAACCATAGCCCAATCTGAGCCCTAACCCAATTTTTTATAACTTCAAAGACTTATTTATTTACAATTCCCCCCTAATTTTGCAAATCCAGTCACAGAAAAAAAGTACATTCCTTGTACATTTATCTTTCCACAGCATGATACAAACATTAATTGAATAGATCACCTTTGTAAATGCCACAGTTGGCTTTTACTCTTGAGTGTTCACCAACATGTTTCTGTTATGTTTTTCAGGAGGGGAAATGTCTGTACGTGGTGCTGCTAATGGCTGTGTTCTGGTGCACAGAGACACTTCCCTTAGCTGTCACTGCCATGCTACCTGTTTGCCTCTTTCCAACAATGGGAATTCTTCCATCCAAGAAAGTCTGCCCTCAATACTTCCTCGATACCAATTTTCTCTTTCTCAGTGGTCTTGTGATGGCATCAGCTATTGAGGAATGGGGTCTGCATCGCAGAATAGCTCTGAAAGTTCTTAAGATTGTTGGAGTCAAACCAGCCTGGTGAGAAGTCTATATCGCTATATACAACAGTAATAAATTAATCATAATTGATATTTTGGGATTCTTTTCCATTATTTAAAATGAATGCCCTGCATATGGCAAAATATAGGCTACATAATCATATTATCAGAAATATGAATTGTATTGATGTGCCTCTCTACTTACTCCTGGCCCATGTGTCCATCTCTTTGTGCAGGTTGATTTTGGGAATGATGATCACCTCTGCCTTCCTGTCCATGTGGCTCAGCAACACCGCAACAACGGCCATGATGCTTCCCATTGCTAACGCCATCCTGGAGAGTCTCTTTGGAGACCTGGCCATTCTGAAGGAGAACTGTAAGGTGAAAGACGAGACAGGGGGTGAGTTGCTGTGTAGGGTTTCTCCAACTGTCCCACATACATCAAGTGAAAAGATTAAGAATATAAAGTAACCAAGCCAGGACAAATTTGGTCTATCGACACTGTAGGGTACATATAATGCAAATTGTCTGTAGTGCTTACAAAAACAAACATACTATACTTCCATTTTCTAAAGCTAAGAGTGATGTTTCCACACTAAAACTGTAATATGTAACTGAGGGTGTGAACCTTTTTACAACTAACTGTTCCATCACATTGCCTTCAGTCACGACATGTCAATATTCAAATTATAATTGATTGATTATATTAGCCGCCTTTCAAGTCATACATTAAATATGACAAAGGCCTACAGGCAACCTACTTAGAAAACTGTAACTCACAGGCTTTGATGACAAAGAAATGTTTAAATATCTCTGTTATAGCTTGTCTCATTCATTCCATAGCTATGGATACTGTAGCATCACAGTAATTGGTTAATGGGAAACGTGTTGATTCTCAGTAGAGGCAGTTACACTTAGATGACCCCCTAAATCGCCTTCAAATTGGTCTTCAATATGGAATAGTTATGATGTCTAAGCCTGTCCTTAAAAAAATATATTTTGTCATTTGTCACTGCAGAGTAAACAATGGAGAGAATAACTCTAACACAACCTGTTCACTTCAACATCCATCAGGTCAAAGACAAGTAAAGCTGCATGCACTGCCCTCTGAAAAACAGATATTGTCTATAGACGGGTAAGAAAGCAAACATAAACAAACTTGAAGCTCTCATGTTGTTAGAATAGGATTCATTGTTATCGTGTAGCTATTTACTAATGTTGGTATAATTATACCTTAAGATCTGATCGGATGGAGCGGTCAGATGGGAGGACTGGAGAGGAGATCAGGACAGAGTCCGAGTACCAGATGAAGGTGTGGAAAGGCTTCCTGATCTGTATCCCGTACGCTGCCAGTATCGGAGGGACTGCCACCCTGACAGGCACTGCACCAAACCTCATCCTCATTGGACAACTTAAGAGGTACCCAAGTTGAAGACTTGACTGATCTCACTTTTTCCTACTGCATCTGAACATACCCTCTCATAGACCTCACAGGCCCATCAGAGAGAGCAATAAAGGTCTGTAAGGTGAGGACGGTCTCTCTGAGGAGGTCTAGTAGAGGGTTTTGTACAGCGTACAAACTTTTAACCATTATGAAAAAAGATGAGATAAGTGACACAAGTACTGGGATGTTTCAGATGTTGTAGAACTTCAGACGTCCCACTTAAAGGCCTGGTAGGATTTAACTGGCAAATAGCTGCGTACGAAGAACATGTTACATTTAGACCATAAAATACGATTTTTTTCATGTTTGCTGTACTGTTTTTTGACAGTTAATTCTTTGTGTTCTAGTTACTTCCCAGAGTGCGACTTGATCAATTTTGGCTCTTGGTTTGCATTCGCATTTCCTCTCATGGTGTTTTTCCTCATCTTGGGATGGCTATGGATTTCTTTCCTCTACGGGGGCTTGAATACACGGTATGATGGTGAAATCATATCTAAGTGTAATATAAAAATGTGACCATAGATGATGACATGTGGCAGTCTGTGGTAGAGTTATAGGATTCTTTACTGTACACTTTTTGAAGTAATATGGAATAATACATTCTCCTACCTGTCAGATATTTCCACATTATTTTCATACTGTTTGTTGTGTTCAGGTTGTGTGTGAAGAAACAGGACGAAAGAGCACAAGCAGAGGCGAAGGCTGAGGCCGTTATTGATGAAGACTACAGAAAACTAGGCCCCATAAAGTAAGGACTCTAACATATCTCTACACTAAATCACAGGCAACATGCTCTAATCTTAAATCATGCCCTACACCAGGGGTGGCCAATTCTGGTTCAAAAGGGCCACATTGTTCACATGTTATAGATTGTTTATTTGAATCAGTGTGTTAATGCTGGGATGGAACAAAAGCCTGCTACAGCCCTCCATGACTAAAGATGACTACCCCTGTTCTAGACCCTCTGGACTATATGTCAGTGGTAATGTAGAACAGACAATAATTTCCTATCTTCCATTTTAGTTTTGCAGAAGGAGCCATTGCATTCTTTTTCATTTTGTTTGCCGTTCTCCTGTTCACAAGAGATCCCAAATTTGTAACTGGATGGTCCACGTTTTTCAACAAAGGGTAAGAGAGACAAGCTGACAATCCACTGCCCGTTACCTAGGAAATGTCTGTATAATTCACTGGAGGCATGAGGAAACCAGCTGCTTCATGACTTCCTCTTCTCTGACTCTCTTCCTCCTTCAGGTATGTTTCAGATGCGACCACTGGAATGATCATTGTGTCAATCCTATTCTTCTTCCCTTCCCAAAAGCCCTCTCTCAGCTGGTGGTTTGATTCTAGAGGTCAGTACCAGAAAGGATATGTCCCAAATAATGAGAAATACGTTTTTAGAATATGTAGATGGAAAATACCACTGCCTCAATCATACCGCCTTTCTGTACTGATATAGAGAAAACGGTATGTTTTCAAATCAAAAGATTAGATGGAGTGAAGCAGCTGTATACATACACTGTAGATCATGGTTTTTAAACTCACATTATTATTCAATCATGCCTCGACAGACATAAATTACAGAAACATTGACAACTATAAAGGCAGAATATTTTTTTGGTCATTTCATAAATTCATTTCAGAAGTGCAGAACTTGTATTGGCTCTGTTGTATGGTACTGTAAATAACCTGAGGAATGTTAATGACGTAGATTAGTGAGTCTGAGCAGCGTCCCGTTGTGAGGTAAGACTGTCGCCCCTCTGTTCGTGCAAATATTATTAATCTAAAAAAAATGCATTGCCACACTTTGGCTTGCTCTGTGTTCACCCACTGGTTTAACATAGCACACAACTTCTTATGCAACAGAAATACCAGGGTTTTCATGTTCTACCCTCATATATTTCCAGCAAGATTAGAATTTCTATATGTTTGGCATTGAGCTCTTTAATGTTCTTATTAAAAACAATTTTGAGTAGGTATGTTAAGAATTAGCCTGTAAGCTATAAAAACAAAGAGAGTCGCACACTCCATATGTATAACCTCCCAGTAATTTATTGGGTAAAAAACCACCAACGTTTCGGCATCACTGTGCCTTCTTCAGACCCTGAAGTTTATTCCCCGTTAGTCAGCACCTCTACACTGAATAATGTTCTCTGGGTGTGCGCCAGCTCATGCTTTTTATAAGAATTAGCCTGTGAAATTATAGTTCCATTTCAGTCAGTTTCACTCGGTACAACAAAAGCGCGACTCCCCATAACGATGTTGTACCTCGTTCCCTTCCTTCAGGGAATAGTAGTTATATTCAGAACTTCATGTTTTACAGCCCAAAATTATTGACACATGAAAAATGTCTGGCACAGTGGTACCCGAGAGAGAAACAAAACCCCAACCAGACTTATTTTGTCCCCTAAACGTTACTTTGACCCCTAACCCCTAGCTTTATTGCCCCTTGCAGGTTAGATATTCTGATATTTCGGTGGTTGACCTGGATTTGTCTGGAGGGCTGAAGTTGATTTCATACCCTGTCATGTTTTCCACAGCACCAAATAATCCATATGTTCCTCTCCTATCATGGAAGAAAACACAGGAATGTGTCCCATGGAATATAATTCTGTTGCTGGGTGGAGGCTTTGCCATGGCCAAGGGGTGTGAGGTAAAACCATAGAATTTACATATAGAATCATTATGCTTTATGATCTCTATGGGGAAACCCCTTTAATGTTTAATGGTGCACACCATAGATATGAAATCCCTTTAACTCACATTCTCATTTGTGTAACTCTACATTCGAATAGCTGTTTGTTTGGTGATTTATATACTTTTTTGACCTATTTCTGCTACTACTAAGACAAGGGCTGTCTTGATGCTCTGTCCCTGTGGTGTAGGAGTCAGGACTGGCGGCGTGGATAGGAGCCTACCTCCAGCCTATTGCTCAGGTCCCTCCTGCTGTGGCTGTCATGTTTATCACAGCTTTCCTGGCCTGTTTCACAGAGTTCGCCAGCAACACCGCCACCATTATCATATTCCTGCCCGTCATCGCTGAACTGGTGAATTGTCATCTATGACATATGACCACAACATTCAACATTTAGTTAGATGTTTCCATTGTTAAGAATGAAGTACCCTGTGGGTATGAAGAGGACTAGTAGACACTCATTTTGTATATTGTGTGTAGTATTTTTGAACACCCTTGTGAACTACCATAAAGTCTTGAACTACACTGTATTACTAATTAATGGATTAGTATTCCCCATGGGAAAAGATAATGGGGAAGTTGATGCTCTCTACTCTCCCACAGCAATTTACTTTTTTACTGTTTGTGAACAGATCTGTCAGTGTAGCACCATGGCTGTTGGGTCTGTTGGACAAAAGTAGGGAAAAAAGTAGGTTTATTTGAACAGTGAGAGACAGAAAAACGCATGTCAAAAATGTTATCAATTGATTTGCATTTTAATGGGAAAGGGAAATAAGTATTTGACCCCTCTGCAAAACATGACTTAGTACTTGGTGGCAAAACCCTTGTTGGCAATCACAGAGGTCAGACGTTTCTTGTAGTTGGCCACCAGGTTTGCACACATCTCAGGAGGGATTTTGTCCCACTCCTCTTTGCAGATCTTATCCAAGTCATTAAGGTTTCGAGGCTGATGTTTGCCAACTCGAACCTTCAGCTCCCTCCACAGATTTTCTATGGGATTAAGGTCTGAAAACTGGCTAGGCCACTCCAGGACCTTAATGTGCTTCTTCTTGAGCCACTCCTTTGTTGCCTTGGCCGTGTGTTTTGGGTCATTGTCATGCTGGAATACCCATCCACGACCCATTTTCAATGCCCTGGCTGAGGGAAGGAGGTTCTCACCCAAGATTTGACAGTACATGGCCCCGTCCATCGTCCCTTTGATGCGGTGAAGTTGTCCTGTCCCCTTAGCAGAACAACACCTCCAAAGCATAATGTTTCCACCTCCATGTTTGACGTGTGGTTGGTGTTCTTGGAGTCATAGGCAGCATTCCTCCTCCAAACACGGCGAGTTGAGTTGATGCCAAAGAGCTCCATTTTGGTCTCATCTGACCACAACACTTTCACCCAGTTCTCCTCTGAATCATTCAGATGTTCATTGGCAAACTTCAGACGGGCATGTATATGTGCTTTCTTGAGCAGGGGGACCTTGCGGGCGCTGCAGGATTTCAGTCCTTTATGGCGTAGTGTGATACCAATTGTTTTCTTGGTGACTATGGTCCCAGCTGCCTTGAGATCATTGACAAGATCCTCCCGTGTAGTTCTGGGCTGATTCCTCACCGTTCTCATGATCATTGCAACTCCACAAGGTGAGATCTTGCATGTAGCCCCAGGCCGAGGGAGATTGACAGTTATTTTATGTTTCTTCCATTTGCGAATAATCGCACCAACTGTTGTCACCTTCTCACCAAGCTGCTTGGCGATGGTCTTGTAGCCCATTCCAGCCTTGTGTATGTCTACAATCTTGTCCCTGACATCCTTGGAGAGCTCTTTGGTCTTGGCCATGGTGGAGAGTTTGGAATCTGATTGATTGATTGCTTCTGTGGACAGGTGTATTTTATACAGGTAACAAACTGAGATTAGGAGCACTCCCTTTAAGAGTGTGCTCCTAATCTCAGCTCGTTACCTGTATAACAGACACCTGGGAGCCAGAAATCTTTCTGATTGAGAGGGGGTCAAATACTTATTTCCCTCATTAAAATGCAAATCAATTTATAACATTTCTGACATGCGTTTTTCTAGATTTTTTTGTTGTTATTCTGTCTCTCACTGTTCAAATAAACCTACCATTAAAATTATAGACTGATAATGTCTTTGTCAGTGGGCAAACGTACAAAATCAGCAGGGGATCAAATTCTTTTTTTCCCCTCACTGTACAGTTATCAGTAACCAGTTGTCTTTGGCTGGCTGTACCAATGTCTTACAGTATTGTTAAATCTAAGCAATAGTATCACCCATCCAGTATCATCCAGTATCACCCTGACAAGTGCACCCAAGTTACTTATCTTCAGTGACATTTCTAAGCCAAATACATGACTAAGAATGTGGAATATTGTTGCCATTTATTGAATGCGATATGGATTCACACACTCTGCTCATTTGTGCAAAAAAACTGTTTCTAAGTATTAATATTCCCTATTAACACAATTTTTCAGCAAAATAATATCAATGAATGTGTTGGTCTCCTCTCTACAGGCTATGTTTGTCAAGGTGAACCCTCTTTACTTTATGATACCTGCGACAACAGGATGTTCATTTGCCTTCATGTTGCCAGTCTCCACCCCTCCCAACTCCATTGCCTTTGCATCTGGCCATCTTTTGGTGAAAGACATGGTAAGATCCTTACGCCAATATACTGTATGACCATATTTCAGACTGTTCTTAAACTTAAACATACTGTATCCTAGTAAATATATTATTTACATATCTTTGGTTTCTCTATTTCCAGGTGAAAACAGGCTTTGTGATGAACATTTTGGGCATTTTATCAGTTTCTCTGGCCATAAACACTTGGGGTCGTGCCATGTTCAGTTTGGAGACTTATCCAGACTGGGCTCGTCCAAGCAACATGTCCAGTACTGTCACAGATATACAGTTCCCCTCCGTCCCACCTTTCAACCTTACTAGTTTGTGATACACTGCATACCGTAGATCTGAAGCTTATCCAATACAAAGTATTACACTGTATTATATAGTAAATACTTGAGCAGCATTTCTGTATATGTACAAAAGTCAATAACTATAGACTTGTGGAGCATTAGTTGTTACCAAGTTATTTAGCCTATGGTGTGATGGCTATACTATGTTGCTAATGTACTGTACACTTCTAGATTTCCCCATTGCCTAATGTATACTGTATGAGTTTAGATTTTTTTTGTTCAGGATCTCCTTGTACTCTACGTCCTCTGTCATGTAGATTATACTAAGTTCTATCAGCTCATTTTCTTGCTTGTCACATGCCACGAACCCCTGGTCTCCCAGATGTGTCAACTGTTTTGTCTTGGTTTGTTTTAGGTCCTTGTGCCAAGTTTCCATTTGAAGATCATTTGTTTGGGCAGGGCAGGGGGCGACAGAATGGACAGTGGTTGGTCTGTCTGTTGTTACATTCTCTTCCACAGTTACACAACAAGTAATGTCGGAGATCGTTTTTGTCCAGACACCTGTGACATCTGTGTCATCGTTCTGTTGCTATGCTTGCTGAAATGACTTGCATCTTAGGGACCTCTGCTGGTCAGTGTGCCACTTTACGAGTGTCCGTCTCATTCCTCACTGTAACATTCCCTAGATAGTGTTTGTGATGATAATCCTTATTGATTAGGGTGTTAGCAGTTTGCTTGATGATAATAGACCCAATCCATTTCATCACAATGAACACTCATCCTCCAAGTCCACCACCTACTAGTAAATCATACTTGAACTCGATACTCCATTGATCTTTAGTTGTATAAACTGTGACTGTCTTGACGCACAACAGGAGTTTGTGAATTATTCATGAAAAATGCTTACCTAGTCCATGGGGTCACTGGCTGCACATGTTTTAACACATTGTAAGTTACACACAGAAGGTCATTTTTACTTTTCATCATGTCTTTTAAATCCAGAAATCATGATTTTCTGATCTTATTTTATTTTAAATAATCACTAGAAATGTAGTATGTAGGAAATTTAAATAACAATTTTCTACCATAGTTTGTATTTAGTGTAATACGTTTAGGTTTATCAATGCACATTTTGTAGCTTTGTTATTTTCTTAATACTACTGTTATTACCAAATAAAACTCAACAGCAAATGTGTTATTTAATTTTTTCATCTATCCATGGAATTGCTATATTTAGCTGATGTCAGTGAGCAGGCACCAACAGACACACTGTAATATATACAACAGAGCAACTAAAACCATGGGATAATATTCAGAAGGGGGCCATGCCACTATAATCCTTTTTAGTTTTAATCATTGACCCAGGTGACACAGCATAATATGCACTAAGGAGGCGGTCCTTTGGAAACTCGGCAGAACTCTGAAGTAGTTACTCAGTGTGAGAGAGGAAGGGTCATTGGGGGAGGCCCCAGTAAACGAGACAAACTACAACAGAACACAATAATACTTTGTTAGAAATGTAACACAGTACACACATTAAATAGAAGAACATGACATGTTGGAAAAGGAGCACAACATGTTGGAAAGGGAAGTTTGACAAGTCGTACCACAACATGAAACTGCTCAATCTTGATGCTGACTGTAATACAAAGGGAAATTAAAAAGCCCCAGCTAAACATATTGTTTTGGAAAACTCTGACCCTGTACAATTGCTCACATGTTCATAGTTTCCCAGATCATAACAATCCCTCCTCCTATTATTCAGTAGTAGTATGACCTCCTCTATCTATAAATAGGATCCCACACTGCTCATATGAGTATAGCACCTTTTAACTCACCAATACTTCCCTAAATGATTAGTCACCAAGTATTGCATGTTTAACAACTATCATAATTTTCTGCTAATATTTTTCCTCAATAACGTGGTTCATGTGTTGATTTGTCATGCCTGTCAATATGAGTGAGTGTGTCAGCATGTGGGCATGAGCAAGAGCCCTTCTGTCCCCTTTGGAAACCATCTTACACATATCTATGTGGCAGTGACTGTGCATAATAAGTTCCTGTTTCAAACTTCATAGTTACCCCCATCAGACAACTTTGTAACTTCACATGAACTGTTACCAAGGAGAATGAAGTTCATTACTGAGTACATGGGCTTTGCCTTTTCATTGAGGTAGGTGTTCATTTTTCAGTCTTTTGAGTGAAAGAGACATTACGTTACTAGATTACGGACAGCTATGTATGAGATGATTTAAGGAATTCATGTTATGGTCAAATGTATATTATTTTCACAGTGAATTGTGCTAGGCCCTTCTTGTGAATTTAAGAAAGCTGGCTTATTAAAGTGTTAATTACACAATAATAAGCTATTCTGCTCTTGTATAATGTGGATATTAAAACAATACATGATGATAGTCAGAATAGTGTATATTACAGTTTGATCACAATCACAGCATAGTTAGAATACAGTGCAATTCTAAAATGTGTAACATGTTTAGTCTATTCTACTAAGCCATTTACTTTAAGTTCGTATTCTTACCTTTAATTATTTATTATTGTTGTTGCATTGTCGAGAAGGAGCCTACAAGTAAGCAGTCTGTTGGATTGTGTATACCATGTGTATCCTGTACATACAACTAATAAAACTTGAATTCACACAATCATTGGTTTTCAGGCAAGAACCTTGGGGTGCCATAAAGACCACTCTACAGTATCTGTGGGATGTTTATTCAAAGCCGACCCTGGCTGCCAAGGAGGTTCTGACATTGCTTTCTATGTGTTTCATTATCGCCATGGTGACTGGTGGTCTCCTCTACCATTGGATGACAGAGATCCTGAGATATGACAGTGGTACTTCCAGCACTGCTGCCTGCATCTATACTGTGGCCATCCTTTTCCTCTCGTTCCTCTGTCATCCTCTCCGTTGTGTACTAACTATGATCCTGCCCACTCTGGGCACCAAACAGGGGCGCAAGTTGATCATCTCCACCTCTGTGATTGTGTTAGTGTTGAACATCATCCTTAACATAACCGTTAACATGGGAGTGGTGATGCACGTTTTAAAGTGCACCTCTGAAGGTTTTGCCCGCTCTCTTTTGAACTCATCTGAGCTGTTTCAAGAAGCAAAGAGAGATCTTGTTAGAGAGGCTATCAAAGTGAAACAGGAAGAACTGAATATTGTTAACAAATTGAGGAAATTTGATCATTTTACACACATTGATGTGTCAGAGGTCCAAAATAAGTTTGTTACTGTAAGCAAGCAGATTGAGAGTGACTTTTCACGTGCCAATAAACTGCTGGAGGAGTATAAACTTCTGTCAAACAGGATTCTGGCGGCCATCTTTGTAATCTACCTGATAGTTGAATCAGCCTACTACCTGAAGTCATATGTCATTTCAGTTAAGTTTGACAATGTTTACATCACAAGACAGTTACTGCAAAAAGCATCTGATGATGGAATCCAAATAGAACCAACTAACCTGAAAAAGATGGTTAATTCCACAAGTTGTAAAATAACAAACCAGGAATTTACCAGATGTCTTCCTCCATAGTAGTGGTGACTTTGTATTTCATTGTTATCATCTTCATAATGGCTTTGGATCACATTGTGTACCATCTGGTTACAGTGAGTGGGCCTTGGTTGCTGGAAGTTCCAGCTACAGCTGTCAGCATAGCTGTGAAATATAAGGTAGGTCAATATTGATACAGTACTTTTCTATATGAGGTCGGGCACATCACAGAACATAATGTGACATTATATCATGTGTAGCCTTGAGATCAATGATGATATGAAATTGAATAACACAGTGGACAAATGGTGACTGGATTCTCTTTTCTCTGACAGGTTCACCTGCGCTTTCCAGGCCTATGTATTATCCCAGCTATCTGTGGGGATACAGAACTGGCAAACTTCCACAAGCAGTATGACTGGACATTTAACCCAGAGGCATTACTCTGTGATGTAGAGCCCTCGGCACCAGACCTGAGAGTGAGGGTCTTACTGGGTCTACTCTGTCTGGTGAGCTACATCATGGTGTTACTGGAGGTCTATGCCAGACGCATCCGCAGAAAAGTGTCTGCATCCTTCTTCAAAAAGCAGGAGGAAAAGAGAATTAATTTCTTATTGAAGAAGATACAGGCGAAACAGGACACAAGAGAAAACAATATATTTTTCATTGAAGCTGTGAATGAGACCAGCGTTCACACAAACCAAAATGTAATTTGAAGCTTGACTTGCTGTCATTATTTGTAGTTTAGGGAGACCTCTGCTGTAGATCTCAAGAACTGCTTTTAATGCTTTCACTGCTCCTCTTTTGAGTTATTGCCATTATAATAGTTTTGATTTATTTTAGATATTGAAAAAACCCTCCTCAGTCTCACCAGCTGTCAGCTGAGAGAATTTGTCGATTTGATTTTTCAATATTTCCAGATTAAACTGATTCTGTAACATACAAATGAAAAACATGGAATACATTTTTTTTAACTTCAAAGTGATACAAGCATGCTTATCCCTGTGTTAAAATACAACTGATGAATCCAGTGACAACATCCTACTTTCCATGAGCCAAAGGGCCTGTTGAGAACATTAGAGGGCATCCTGTTAGTGAGTCACAGTCATATGACCTTTCTCCTGGTCGTGGAGCACCCCTTTTACGCTACCACTGCCTCCTCTCAACAACACTCATGAAACCATGTTTCTAGGCTTAATGAAGAAATTAATACCATATAACAGACAATCACAAGCGTTTTCACTTAAGCTTTTATATTGTGAAAGGTTGATGCTTTTAAAGAATTGCATAAAAATGGCTTTGAGGGCCCTTTTAAAGTAAAATAAATGTTTACTCCATTTAAGGAACAGGACCGTTTATTACTTTGTTTCTTACTGCAAGGGAGAACTCCACAATCAACAGACGAGAGTTGGTTTGATGTCTACATACAGTGGCTTGCGAAAGTATTCACCCTCCTTGGCATTTTTCCTATTTTGTTGCCTTACAACCTGGAATGAAAAATTGATTTTTTTGGGGTTTGCATTATTTGATTTACACAACATGCCTACCACTTTGAAGATGCAAAATAATTCTTTTTGTGAAACAAACAAGAAATAAGACATAAAAATAGAAAACTTGAAAACAGAAAACATTCCAAGACATATAAATATTTCCCCTTAAACCACCCGAGTGTTGTTTTAGCAGTATGCTTAGGGTCCTTGTCCTGCTGGAAGGTGAACCTCCGTCCCAGTCTCAAATCTCTGGAAGACTGAAACAGGTTTCTCTTTTAAGAATTTCCCTGTATTTAGCGCCATCCATCATTCCTTCAATTCTGACCAGTTTCCCAGTCCCTGCCGATGAAAAACATCCCCACAGCATGATGCTGCCACCACCATGCTTCACTGTGGGGATGGTGTTCTCGGGGTGATGAGAGGTGTTGGGTTTGCGCCAGACTTAGCATTTTCCTTGATGGCCAAAAAGCTCAATTTTTGTCTCATCTGATCAGAGTACCTTTTTCCATATGTGTGGGGAGTCTCCCACATGCCCTTTAGCGAACACCAAACGTGTTTGCTTATTCTTTGTTGCCTCTCTGATTAATGCCCTCCTTGCCTGGTCCGTGAGTTTTGGTGGGCGGCCCTCTCTTGGCAGGTTTGTTGTGGTGCCATATTCTTTCCATTTTTTAATAATGATTTAATGGTGCTCTGTGGGATGTTCAAAGTTTCTGATATTTTTTTTATAAACCAACCCTGATCTGTACTTCTCCATAACTTTGTCCATGACCTGTTTGGAGAGCTTCTTGGTCTTCATGGTGCCGCTTGCTTGGTGGTGCCCCTTGCTTAGTGGTGTTGCAGACTCTGGGCCTTTCAGAACAGGTGTATACAGTGAGGGAAAAAAGTATTTGATCCCCTGCTGATTTTGTGCGTTTGCCCACTGACAAAGACATGATCAGTCTATAATTTTAATGGTAGATTTATTAGACAGAAAGACAGAATAACAACAAAACAATCCATAAAAACGCATGTCAATAATGTTATAAATTGATTTGCATTTTAATGAGGGAAAAAAGTATTTGACCCCTTTGCAAAACATGACTTAGTAACCCTTGTTGGCAATCACAGAGGTCAGACATTTCTTGTAGTTGGCCACCAGGTTTGCACACATCTCAGGAGGGATTTTGTTCCACTCCTCTTTGCAGATCTTCTCCAAGTCATTAAGGTTTCGAACCTTCAGCTCCCTCCACAGATTTTCTATGGGATTAAGGTCTGAAGACTGGCTAGGCCACTCCAGGACCTTAATGTGCTTCTTCTTGAGCCACTCCTTTGTTGCCTTGACCGTGTGTTTTGGGTCATTGTCATGCTGGAATACCCATCCATGACCCATTTTCAATGCCCTGGCTGAGGGAAGGAGGTTCTCACCCAAGATTTGACGGTACATGGCCCCGTCCATCGTCCCTTTGATGCGGTGAAGTTGTCCTGTCCCCTTAGCAGAAAAATACCCCCAAAGCATAATGTTTCCACCTCCATGTTTGACGGTAGGGATGGTGTTCTTGGGGTCATAGGCAGCATTCCTCCTCCTCCAAACACGGCGAATTGAGTTGATGCCAAAGAGCTCGATTTTGGTCTCATCTGACCACAACACTTTCACCCAGTTCTCCTCTGAATCATTCAGATGTTCATTGGCAAACTTCAGACGGTCCTGTATATGTGCTTTCTTGAGCAGGGGGACCTTGCGGGCGCTGCAGGATTTCAGTCCTTCACGGCGTAGTGTGTTACCAATTGTTTTCTTGGTGACTATGGACCCAGCTGCCTTGAGATCATTGACAAGATCCTCCCGTGTAGTTCTGGGCTGATTCCTCACCGTTCTCATGATCATTGCAACTCCACGAGGTGAGATCTTGCATGGAGCACCAGGCCGAGGGAGATTGACAGTGCTTTTGTGTTTCTTCCATTTGCGAATAATCGCACAAACGGTTGTCACCTTCTCACCAAGCTGCTTGGCGATGGTCTTGTAGCCCATTCCAGCCTTGTGTAGGTCTACAATCTTGTCCCTGACATCCTTGGAGAGCTCTTTAGTCTTGGCCATGGTGGAGAGTTTGGAATCTGATTGATTGATTGCTTCTGTGGACAGGTGTCTTTTATACAGGTAACAAACTGAGATTAGGAGCACTCCCTTTAAGAGTGTGCTCCTAATCTCAGCTCGTTACCTGTATAAAAGACACCTGGGAGCCAGAAATCTTTCTGATTGAGAGGGGGTCAAATACTTATTTCCCTCATTAAAATACAAATCAATTTATAACATTTTTGACATGTGTTTTTCTGCATGTGTTTCTCTCAATGTTCAAATAAACCTACCATTAAAATTATACACTGATCATTTCTTTGTCAGTGGGCAAACGTACAAAATCAGCAGGGTGTCAATATAAATAGTCCGGGTGGACATGCGATTAATTGTTCAGCAATCTTATGGCTTGGGGGTAGAAGCTGTTAAGGAGCCTTTTGGTCCTAGACTTGGTGCTCCAGTACCGCTTGCCGTGCGGTAGCAGAGAGAACAGTCTATGACTTGGGTGACTGGAGTTTTTGACAATTTTTTGACACTGCCTAGTATATAGGTCCTGGATGGCAATTAATTAGACTCAGATTAATGTTCAGAGGGCAAATATTGTGGCACATAGCCATGTCATGTGTGGACCTTCCGAATGTTATTACAAATTAATTAAAATAATCATGCTTTAAAATGTGCATAAGAAGCTAAATTATTTTTTGAGTGTTTTGGTATTATTCTGTTTATTCTTTCTGTTCAATGATGGATTAGATTGTGTAAAACTCATTTTCCTATGACACCTAAAACTTAAAGTCTCTCTGAGAGCAAAAACGGTTTCTGTACCTCTGTGATTTATGTTGGAATACAAACACGTTTTTTGTCATACCTCAAAAATGCTTCAGCGTTTTTATGAGCACACTGCTTTCAACTCCCAGAAGGCATCAGAAGGCTATTTTGGCCAGTGTATTAATAGAATGCCTGTTCATCTATTTTTAATCCAGCCATTTTGTCCGTCTTAATTTTTCTTCATGTTTACCCCATAATTCAAGACTATGTGTCTAATATTTTATGCTTTGTTGCTGTGAGGCCTGGAACAAAATGTATAATTCATATAATTTCTCTTCACATAAATCTTTGGTTCTGTACCAAAATAAAAGGTTAATAAATTGTATAATATCTTGCCTGTAACTTTATCTCTTGATTCTAATCCAAGCTATAAGATGCCATATAAATGTATCCTTTAAAATTTCTGTAGAAAAGTGGTGAAAATGTGTGCCAATTTACTGTTTTTTGTAAATGTTTTTGATGGCTAGTTCCAATAGTTTACATGTAAACACTCAAAAAATATATATGGGTGTTCACTGAAGTCTACTGATTGCAGTGATATACAGTATAATATGCTATTCTGTTTTGTGTCAATTTTAAGAAATGTGACAGGAAACCTGCCCTTTACACATCACTTTAGGTCAAATCCCATAGGAATGCATTATGTGCAGCAGAGAGACAGGTAACCCTTTATGATGATACCTTTCAGTCTTTACACAAAGTGAGTAAACTACTCCATAAAGATGTGTAGCTATAGTGCCATTGCAGATTCAATACCTATTATACTCTAAAAGACCAGTTTTTGAAAATGAACACCAACCAGCTACATTAGTTCTAATTGGACAGGATTCACATGGCGATATCTTCATAAATAATTGGTACATACAGCCCATTATACAACAGATGGTTCCAATCCTGAATGCTGATTGGTTAAAACCGCATTCCAGCCAGTTGCTATTCCACAAGTTACCTCTGGCTAAATCTATGATGTTAAAATGCCTATTTACTCTGTTCCATCTAACTGCGCAATCCACTGTCTCCTCAGCCCAGCCAGGCAATTTATAAACTTGATCTCCACGATAAAAAGCATCTAGACATTACTCACATTTCTTTTAGACTAACATTTCGTTTTCAACAACGGATATTTGTATAAACCTTACTGTCTGTCTCTCCGACATTTGCAACATTGTTAATATTCAAATTCGATCTGAAGCTGTCCCATAGTAATGAACGTGTCGGGAGTCGGGACGAGACAGACAGGCAGGCAGCATTTCTCAGCCAGTCGAAATCATGAATCAGCTGGCATCTTTTTTATGGATATATACCAAGAAATGTCAATAGAAAAAGTGCAGCAAGTTTGCAG